GTGCTACCACTTACCTCCCAGAAACATTATCCCACTAAATCCCTTCCCACTGGATAATCCTGGCTAACAACAGGTGTGGGATAAGCATAATCCTTATGTTTGCGCAAAAGGAAACTTCTACATAAGCCCTCGAGTGATTTCCTTCCTGGCTTAATCAACGGACCTTCGCTTGGGCAATGCCCAAGTTTTTCAAAGGCTACGGAGGAAGAGCAGTGCGTTAAGTGTTCTGGCTATTCGCTAAGAATATGAATTACTGCAGTCACGAAAGCTTTAAATCAAAATTTAGACCCCAAAGCTGTGAAATGAAACAAAAAAGGTACATACGCAACAAGTTTATACCGGTTGCACACGACAAGGGTGTTTATGGATAGCACACTGGAATTGCAATTCATAAGTCGCCTGTTCCATTCCATCTCCGGCCTATGCAGTTCAAAAGTGGTGCAAGTTTATTCATTTCCCCTATTTCTGTGCACCAAGAATTGTAGTAAATAGGTTCACTGCAGTTCGTCTATGATCGGCAGGTCGTGAGTGGTGGGATAAAGTGTGTGTACTCCCACCTATTCCAAGACGTCAGACCAGCGTGGCTGAGGAGACCAACGAAGCTCTTGGAAGGGTTAGCTTTCTTGAGTAAAAGTCCTTCCATCAGCAGTGGACTGGGCGAAATTAATTGCACGGCTGCACCTTGCACACCGAGACCAGCTATGGATAGTGTGAAGGTGTGCCCTCTGCAATGCAACTCACTGTGTAGCATGGTCAGGTTGCTTGTGGATTTATCAGAAATAAACGCAAGAGCATGTGGCCTTGCCACGTTAAGCTGCATTAAGACTGAGTAAAACCTGGCCAGGATGACAGATTGCAAAGCACCCCAAGGGAACAGCCGCACCTCATGCATTTGTACACTTTACGTCGAAAGCTAAGATAACTTAATGAAGCTGCTTCATTATTTTACCCAGGAAAGCCTCACTGAGTCTCAATACTTTGTCAGCAGCATGGTGCAGCAGTGAGATTATGATCAAACACCATTAACGAGTGTTTGGATTTCGCGTAGGAGGAAAATGTACTTCACAAAGTACCCCGAGGGAAACCCACAATACGCACTTAACACTGCCATCTCATAACCACCTTGTAGCTCCATACCTACAACAATAAGGGCACCACGGTGGTGAGATGTTAATTACCTCGCCTGGTATAAAGGAGCTCGGGGGTTCGATCCCGACCCTGACGCCTGCTGTATATTTGCCAATTTGTGCGTCTCTCTCCCCGTGGTCGCATTGATTTGTCTCTGGGTTCTCCAGTTTTTCCCGTCGACATGCGTTTAGAGTATTTAGCTGATATACATATCCGCATGATAAGCCACTTCGTTGGGCTATCATTTGTGGCCAGGTCGCTTTTGAAAAAGAGCTATAAAGCTCAGTGGGTCTTACCTACTACAAAAATATATAATTTGTAGTTGTTATAGTAACTGGAAAAAAACCAGGAATCTTCTCATCTAAGCATCAAGCGGGCTGGACCCTGCTTAACATTTAAACTTCAACAATATCTGGCACATCCAGGGCAATATGGATATAGGCAATCACACTACCCTGGCTACAATTCAGTTCCTGAAAAAAGCTTCCAACACCTGGATCGAAACTTCAGATGTCACATCCGGTAACAATCCGAAACCATGTCCTATGATGAAACATATATTAAATATTGCTTTCTCGTCATGACAATGGTTTCATCAGCTGTGAATTTATACGAGTATATTAAAAAAAACATTTTAAATATATAAACAACATTTGAAGCTGGTTTTGGAATCTGATGATTTACTCGAGTGGAAGTCACAGGCTTGGAGGAGCGCCAGTGATTATACGGAGAATATTTTTTTCTTTCGAACATCCATTCACGCCCGTGCTGACCCCCCTCGCTGCACGCAACTCCACCCGCCGCAGGAAACCGCCGAGCCACGCCAGCGGACCGTGACGGGGGCCTTCGTATTCACAAATCCCACCGTTTCTTGTACTTGCCGAATTATTTTTATCCCTCCGATCTACTTCTTCTTCTTTCGTATGCCATTTATTGGGGCTTGCAACAGATTACAAATTCATCTTCTTTGGTTCTTTCGGTAAAGTCACGTAGAATGAGAATAAAATAATAAATTGATAAAATAAAATAACACAATAATAACAACAATTTATTTTATCAATTTATTATTTTATTCTCATTCTACGTGACTTTACCGAAAGAACCAAAGAAGATGAATCATTGCAGTCACGAAAGCTTTAAATCGAAATTTAAAGATTACAAATTGATGTCGAGATTTCATATCCCCATTCGATTGCTTCGGGAGCAGCCGCATGGATTTGTTTCAAGTTGCCGTCGAATGATCCGAGTGGGCAGTTGTTCACGGTGTCGCACGGTCGGAGATATCGCACCACAGCAACAAACTGGACTCTCGTTAATTTTCCATTAATGGAGAAAGTGTCCACATCTTCCATGGAGTGTCCGGATTTCCTACGATGACTTGGTCGCTGTACACATGTATACCCACTGTGTTTGTGCATGCACTGTACATGCCAGTCGTGTCTATTCCTACGTGCAATCTCTAAATGTATAAACGTAAACTTCAGTTTTTATCAAGTGTAAACATACAAGAGTATCTCGCATAATACAAAGGAAAGTTAATATCCAAGCACGTTAAGATGAGGGCAGCATGGTAGAGCAGTCGTAACACTTGTGCCTCACGGTAAGTAGTCCCTGGGTTCGATTCCTGATTTGAGTGCCTCTGTGTGGAGTGAAACTCCTGCACACCTGTGAAAAAAGAGCTGTGTAGCTCATCAGATTCCTCGAGTATAAATACATATTCTGATTCTGTATGTTCTTTCCTGTTCGGCATGGGTTTCCTCCAGGCTCTCTGGTGTCCCCCAATAGCAAAGAAACAAACCCAAAGAATGTACCTGGTATCGCCAAAAAAAACGCTGAAAACGTACCTGGAAATTACTCAATTGAGATGACACATAGCAACATTGCTCCCTCGTACAAAAACGTTGCAGAAACCTAAAATAGAGTATTGAGACTAAGTGAGACGTTCGTGGGTAAACAAATGTAATAATAATTTAATAATAAACGAATCATCATTCATCCACTGCTGGATGAAGAACCTCCAGCTATATGTCATAATCCTGTTATGTCATTAAATGTTGATCTTGGTCTGCATTCAATAATTGGCCTGGGTATAAACTATTGTGTCGACAGCTGCGTCCCTCCAACAAAAGCAAATGCGTTGTACACATTGCTCTTTTTTACTCATTTATCCTTAGCCATTCTGCCTTCTTTGCCTAGTTCTTAAATCATTGTCTGCAGTTCATTACTGTTGGTTGTTATAATGACTGGGAGAGAATACCACCAGGAATTAAATTAAGAGAACGCTGCACACAAATTATTGAAGGTGTCAAAGCAAGCAATTGGAGCGTAAAGGCAGAAACATAAAGGTGATGAACGGTTATCTGAAAATAGTATCCCTTAGGGAACCAGATAAAACCATAACGCATGACAGGAACAGACTAATAAAATGAGCAAAATCAAGCCATGTGGTCTTTATGGCCAAAAAAGTCATATATCCCAAAATACAAATCATTTTACAGAATTGGAGGATGAAAGAGGAAAAACTTCCAGACCGGTAAGAATTGCTGTGGCCATCGTTAGAGGCAGGACCGTCAATCAAAACTACTCGACCTGTTTCATAAATATTCCACATCAATCGTAGAATGTCTCAATACTCATTCAATTCAAAAAGCAAGGCAACATCAGTGAAATGGATGCAATCATTCAAGCTTTTACAAACCAGGGCCTTAATAAAATGTCAAAACCATTCATAATACGTGGAACAGCTACACTCAGGATTTAATTACGCAACTAATAATATAAATACAGGCCGTTGTCAATTAACTGCTAGATTAAAACCTCCTCATGCCTCCCCATTGCTCTCAGTCATAAAGATTGTTTGACCATACTTCACACTGGACAGTATGGCTTTATGAAGTGGGGAGGTCCAGGACCCGTTCAGATATACTCGCCACTGATGTTTAGGTTTAGGTTTTATTTGGCACAGGTAAAACCCATTGGACAATAAATAATCATTTTCAATGGGGACCTGGTTACTTCCTAAAAACTAGGTTACAGTAAAACAAGTTACATGAACAAAACAATCCAAAAACAACTGTACACATTAGCCACCAAGTTCATTACACAGTACATGCACGTATGTTAAAAAAGCACGAGTTAATAGAGATTAAAAAGCTCTCTGATGTATTTAAGCAAAGTTGTTCAGGGTACAGCCGTGCCATTTCTGGCTTTGCCATCATGTCACTGGTGGTGAAAGGGCCTGCACTAGAGGGGAGCCCTAGAGAAGCCCCTCTCTCGAGGGTTTTTTGAGCCAATTCTGTCACGCTGGCCAGACATGAGAGTGTCTACAGTTTACACCATCACATCCAACATGCAGATCGACCGTGGCGTACCCGTTTTTATACTGCTGAGTGGACAGAGGCGAGGGCGATGAAGAATTTTGGCCGGCGTACCAAGTGCCGAGCCGGGAGATCAAATCAAACTCAAGACCTCTAGATTGCGAGTTCAATGCGGCAGCATCCAACATTTATTGTTCTGTTTCACGGTTAGATGCATCGTTATGTTTTTTATGCTTGGATGCATGAATACATCTGCTGTTTAAATTAGTTTATTTATCGTTCTGTTATGCTTAGTTGAACATGTATTGGCTTCAGTTGAGTGTATATAACCTACTTTTTGCTTTCCTTTCAAGGATTCTAAATATACTAGAAATCTTGTTGTTGTGAATTGCAGGTGTTTATTTAAGCTTTCCATCAGATCCTGCCCAGCCAGGCTTTTACTTATTATTGAACGTTAAAAAGCATATTATACCGTTGTATATATTTCGCTCGTAATACAGGATATCCCAAAACATTACGCAATATCTGTAAAACCACCAACGCAGAGATCCCTACCTCCGGCTGGATGGACTTGAACACTGGAGCATCCATGAGTGTTATCTGGCTCTGAAAAAAAATACACAAATGAATATCAAATGGCAGAAAAAAATGACCAAACATTTTGATGTAGATTCATACGTGATTCACGTCATTTTTTTGTTTAGTTTGTTTGACATATATTGATGTCCACATAACCATGATTTCACACACAGTATTACATTGTATTCATTCGTGTATTTACTGATGCAATATTTGGTAGATGTGCTCATTTAGTACATTCATTGATATGTTGATATATGTATTCAATGCTTTATTATCTTCATTGTTCATTTACAATGGGTCAATATCTAAAGTCGGAATTTTACTTAGCAATCACTTTCATTTGCGAAATGTTTGCAACTTCATAGTCTTTTCCTTATTGGTACGGTACACATATACTGTGGAATATTATGAATAGAGGTGCAGCCCTGAACTTCCTTGCTTATGCCACTGCTGGGAGCAGGACCCCTCTGGAGGGAGTCCCAGAGTCCCACTCTTTCGTACCGGCCAGACATCTCCTTGCTCAAAACGCACAGCTCAACTACACATGCATGTGATGCTTAACATTGTTCCATTCGCTCGATCGTGTTTCACTTCGCCTCGCCAAGCATTAATTTCCTCGTCCGTGTGTCACGTGCAATATGCCTGTTTATTCTGTTTATTTTGCAATTTTTTGTTCTTAAACCACTGTGTTCGCCTGCATCTCTGGTGCTTTCTGTTCCATTGTTCCCTGTTCCTCCGTACGGATCACTTTGATGTTATTGTCGTTCTGTGCTGGTGCACCACAGATCTCTTGAAAACGAGCCGTATAACTAGCTAAAAATGGGACTTTCCGTGGAACAAATAAACATTGATTGATCGATCTCATAAGAGGTGGGAGTACCCACACTCTACCCAAAATCAAACATGACCTGCCAATCGGCTAAGTGCGGTGTACCCATTCACACTTCTGGGTGGAGAGATCTAAAAAAAAGTTCCCATATCAACTTACGTGCAAGAAAATCAAATCAGACCATTAACCTCTAGGATTCGAAGTCCAGCGTGCTTCACCATTACATCATGACAGCATCCCTTGTCGGCAAAATATTTATTTAAAAAAAACAAAGCAGTTAGTTTGTATTGTAACAAAAACAGCTCGTCGTTCAAAAGCACCATCATATTTGTGACGCACAACCACCCTGGATGCAGCAAAACACATTTGCTCACCTTTCCTATACTTTGCACTCCTATCGGGGTTTTTTTGTAATTTTTGCTGTTGTCACTTTCTGGCCCGCCCGTATTGGACATCTCTGAAACAGAGCTTCATAGCTCAATGGGATCTCTCCGAGATAAATTAAGATTCTGATTGTGATGTGTGGGATATTCTCCCGATGTGCGTCACATTTCAGGTGTGCGTCTGGAGCATCGTGTGTCACATGTAGAACACGTGTAAGAGGAAACCGCGATTCGTATATTTTTTTTCTCAGGAGTCAGTTTATCTAATTTTCCCAGGATACAGCTATAAATGCCCACTATTGTGAATTTTTTTTTAATTTCCCAGGCGCAATAAGCAGCCAGCTGCACGACATTGGATTGCGTCGGTGAAGCGGTGCACGGAAGTCTGCTTGGCTCGCACAGACGTGCTGTGTTTCACATCAACTGTGGCACGGGGGTGGGGGGGGGGGGGGATGAGGTGGGGTGAGTGGGGCGAGGGAGGAAGAGGAGTGGGGGGAGGGGGGGTGGGTGGGAGGCCTCAATTCGCAGGGCTGTGGTTTTCTCATCAGCAAGTCGCATGTTGGCGGCTCCGCGGCTCGACGGGTACCGCGTGGCAAGACGCGTGCACGGCGGCGGCGGCGGCGACTTCCGAATTACCCGTCCAGTTGCATTTGCTACGCGTGATCGTGGATGCGCTTGGGCTTACGGCGAGCTCTTCAGGGGCCACTTTGAGGACATCAAAGAGAACCGCGTCGTAGCTTTTCCTCTTCGGGTCGACGGCCCACCTCCCGTCGGTGGAGTCCGACCCGCTGCTCTCCTGCTGGTTTCGTCAAAGACAGGTTTCAGCCGTCAGCTGTTTTTGCCCGGCGATCGGAAGTCGCGAATCATAAAAAGCGGTGCGAGCAAGGGGAGGAGCCGGACGTCAAGATTGAAAGGCGATTTCAAGGACTAGCCCCCCTGGGTGTGTTTTCGGGGTGGTTACCGCGTGTTGTCCAGTATCCCCGAGGGGACCAGATCAAACCAAAAACGCATGACGGGAATAACCTAGTCAAAAGACAGAAATCAAGCCACGTGATCTTTATAGCCAAAAGAAAATAATGTATCCCAGAAAACAAAAACATTTTCAGGATGGGAGGATGAAAGAGAAAAAAAGCTTTTCCAGACCGGTAAGAATTGCTGCGTGCATCATTAAATTGACAGGACCATCGATCAATATTACTCCTAGAATAATGCCTCAACCTTCATTCAATTCATAAAAAGCAAGTGAACATCAGTGGAAACTGATGCAATCATTCAGGAGATTTTAGGAAAAAAAGTCCTCTGATGTGTTTTCGGGGTATAACACATGTTGTCCAGTATGATCTCTGACGGTTATAGCCCCACCAGCTGGGAGCTTCTTCAGGAACTGAATTGATTTGGTAGCTGGCATGAACAGGTAGTGCAACTGGAAAACACACCAACGCACCACAGAGTACAACACGGGAACTTCACGCAGCCGTAACGTTTATGAATCTCTTATTAAGATTTTACTCAGAGGTCGTGAATCCCCATTGGCTACAATCAGTGAATTACATCTCCATTATATGGCTGATAAAAAAAAAGATTAATTTCGTATTGGTAGGCATTAAAAAAAAACTTGAGCAAACTACGAATTGTTTCAAAAAACATAAATTAACAATTACCCAGCTATTCAATTCATCATAACTTAAAAAACTTGGTCAAAATCATTCAAATGGATCAACATTTAAAAGGCATCTACATAACTATAAAATTAATGGAACAAAATCTGAAAAGTATGCAAAGATGCGTCGATAGATTCATGTTGGTAATTACCCCGAAGAGACTGATACAGAGAGAAACACATGCATCAGGTAACATACGGGATTCAGAGACGTCATATCGGCTGTTCAAGTAAGTGCGCTTGGGTGGGATACATCTCTACAAAAAAGGGTACACGATATCCTGTGGTCCAGATCGAAGACAACGTGATCAAAGTGGGGAATACTGGGGGGACGACATCTGTGGAGATGGAGCGATGAGATCGGCTCGCATGCAGGAATGCAGAACCGCAAGTCAATGAGGGATGGCATGGGGCGGCCTTCGACCAGCAGTGGATACATCACGGATCATGGCGATGATCACGAAGGTGATGATTAAAGTCTTCACAATTTAATCTCAACACAAAGTTAACGGGGAAAACTCGGAACAATATTACAGGTATGAGGTAGCATTTTATAAGTAGGTTGCGGATTTTGAAATAACGTTTATACGTTTTGAATTTCATTTAACGAACATGGAAAATAACCGAGAGTTGAAAGGTTTAAAGAGGTTCATTTTGTACCTTACAAAAAGTCTATTGAAGGTTACAGTTACCTTTATTTCAAGAACCAATCGCTTTCCTGCTACCGTACACATACAATATCAATAAAGCACAGTGTTTTAAACCAACACTGACAGCATTTCATGTGCGCTAGCATAGAATTCGAGCACATGGGAGTTTATTCAAAAGTACGTCGGTTGTTTTTATTGCTTTATTAAAAAAAGGCCAGCAGAGTTTGAAGGCTTCTGTTAAAAGGTACATAAAGCTTTCTTTTCAATTGCCATGACCACATTTTTTTTTATTTCAAAGCATACATTGAACTTAAGCAGAATTCACTTAAAATAATTTTGGAAAAAAAGCTTTAGGAAAGCAGATACTACTTATGTTAAAGTGGTTTGCTAAAGTAACCTCCATACAACCGTGATGTAAAATGGAAATAATCTAATTTAATGCCAACGCATTTAATAATTATCATTAAATTATTACTACTGAGACCATTCGTTGCAACTGCTTTGTATTAAAGCATCTCAGAGAAAATAGTTTTACACTAAAATAACCAAATTAAGAAACAACTTAAATCATCCACAGATAAAAAATATATAAAAATCCCTGTCATAAAAACACACGTGCAAAGCATGTTCAAGTGCTAAGTGCCACTGCTGCTCGTGTTAGCCCATATTTCATTTATTACAGTATCCGTTTATACTTACTGTGTTAAACAAACGACAAACTACGTTTGTTTAACAAGGCAGTAAAGTGCGGGAATAGACATATGCAAGGAATCTGCTCAAGACAACCTCTCCGCTCACAGCTCTAAAAATGACTTGATGTTTCACAGATGTTACCCAAAACAAATGACACTAAATCTGATAGCATGCCTTTTTTGTTTTTTTCCGTGCAAAGCACCTGGAGACGCTTGCAGTTACATCTTGGCGCTAGATAAACGTAAACTGGATTGTATTTTTGACCCAAAAACTAACCCTTACACACGCCTCAAAATACTGAACCTTTGTATTACACCAGGCAAAACGATAAATGTGGACATAACCGATTTCCAACGTAACGAGAGGCCTTTAAAGCAAAAGGTGCGGAGTAATTCATTTGCTCGTATTTCTACTTGGCGGGAAGATACAGCAGCTATTTAATCCCATCTGTTTATTTGGCCAACGGCGGGCCTGTTTGGCAGATGACCGCTGCTAATGCAACGTCACAGCAGGTCATGGGGATCCCAGCACTTATTGCTCCTCAAGTGGAGAGAGCGGCGGAGAGTTCCAAACGCACGTGCGCTTGGAAAGTGTCCACAGCAAGAGGATACTGGGAGCAATTAAAGAACACACACGTGGCGAGCCCTACAGTAAACGTTAAGAGAGAATGTCGATCTTTGGATACGTTTTTTTTTTGTTGAAGTTACAGATGTGGGAATAATACATTTTATAAATATTTTTAAAAAATCGCATTTAAACTTAAGTCAATTGTTTTAAGGGTTTTGACAATTATTCATGCCAGGCGTGGTGAACCTTTTTCCGTACGTGGTGCAGAAATGACCTTTGAAATCCCTTGGGCAAGGGACCGCACATTGAAACACACACACACATACCTCAGTCACTCGGAGGTGCCTGTGTTAGATGCAGGGGACAGCAGCGAATGAGCGTGCTAACATTAGAAACGCAGCATTGCCAGGTCGAACAAAAACAATGTTCCCCTCTAGCACCCGATTGATGAGACTAAGATGCCGGCAGTGACCAATGGGGTACGCCGGCCCCTTTTCAAGGGTCCTCAGGCACGAGTCGCGTGTGGCCCATTGGAACCGACTGGTTGGCCCAAGCCCCGATTGACCCCCACAGCTCCAGGACATGGAGCGAAAGGGGGCGGGGCACAGGAAGGCAGCGGAAGAGATCGAATCATAAGAGTTGGCGGTGACCGCTACTGGATGAGAACTTAACTTGGCAAAGGAAGAAAAAGAAAGAAAAAAAAACACTCGGGAAAGCCTTTGTCCACCAGAGGGAAGTTACAGGTGGACAATAATTCTGCCGGGTAAACTGTAGATTGCCATTTAATATAATTTTGTCATTTGTATTGCACTGGGCTGACATCAAGACACCTCAAAACCTTTACTTCCAAAATACCTGCTTTGTCACAAGACCAATTTGCCAGAGCAGAAATTGATACCGTCGAAGGTGGTGAAACTTTAGTCAGTACCGATGTATGCATACGGCTGATACGAGTTAATCATTTGATAACCCACTCACTTCAAACGGTTATCACATAATTCTCCGTCATTGGCCACGTAAAGACATTGGAAGCACCAAACGACATGCCACCTTCACGCGACGCCAATAGGAGAAACGCCTAACTCTGGGTTTATCGACTAAACGGGGGGTTTCGTGGAGGAACGCGGTTTTCAGAAGCCGTCCGAGCATTCGAAATGCGGCCTCACCTCAGGTGTGGCCGCCGTGAGGGTGAAGTTGGACGCTTGCCCCTTCCCTTCCTCCATGGGCCCGGCGGCGTGTGCCGAAGCCGCGCGCCCGGGCGCCGGACTCTCCGCCGCACACGTCCTGCAGCGGGAAGACCGCCACGAGCCGCGAACGTCAGATACGCGCACGGGCGCACGGGCTCGTTCCAAAGGGACTCGAGAATCCACACGCACGCACACACACAAAGACGAAAGATCCCCCCCCTATAGCCTTAACAGCCTGTCGGCGCAAGCGCTTTTATTTAGCACCTGTGAAGCCCGGCACGGCACACGAGGGGGGGGGGGGGGTGGGTGGCCAGCACCACGCCCGGCCGTCTTTGTCTCCCCAGTGGCGATGTTTACACACCGCACCGGGTTACTCATTTGATGCCGAGTCGACCTATGGGAGCCCTAAGACTGGTTCAGATAATTGTCACCGGGTTTGGTGGGCGTCAGCGAAAATTGAACTCGGTCACTGGGTTCGTAGCACAGACAGCTCACCAACCTTGACACTACCACTCCCAAATCCGCACACACAATAGTTACGCAGGCGATGTTGCAGATCCATTTTACAAGAATGTTTTTGCTGATGGAAGAAAAATAATTGACAATGGCAACAAATTCAAATGTGAACTTCGGTACACACAGAAACTCCAGCAGATTGTACTGAACGAAGTGCTTGTTATGATGGCAGCTGCAGCAGAAAAAAAATGCTTAATAAAGTTGACAGTGGAGCTCCACTTGCTATTGTCAGTAGAATGGCCTATTTAAATTTGGAAACGTAAAGTAAACTGTGCATGCCAATGTGAATCACTGTGTTAGTCCGAAAGGTCCTTCTTCATTATTTAAAAAAAAAAATATTTACAGCATAAATGGTTGCTTTAGCTGTTTTGTTTGTACAGAAAAATCGCGCTACGTGTGCATGCAGTGTTTATTTGACTTAAGTCATTATATGACTAATTTATGCAATTATGGTCATATTCATGGGATTGCCAAGTTTATTCTTTGAAGTAAATACAATCTAACAAGAACAAACTAAAACATAAATTAATAAACACAATTATGCAGATAATAAACTATGGAAATAAGAATTGTATACGAACTCACTCGTGTTTAATTGTGAAATGTTACCACTAAAATATTTTGTATCCAATGAGTTAGCTCATAAGACCTAATATCAATAATAGTTTAGGACATGACATTGAAAGCAACTTTAGAATGCTTTATGGTTTTATTACATATAATTAAATACCAGGATACACTGGATGGTAATAGGCATTGACCATTCAATACAATACATCAAAATCATTTCACAGTACTATTACGGAAGCAGACAACGTAGCGGCAGCTGAATTTCCAATGTCACAATAGCAAATGAAGTTAACTGCATTTACGGATAGGAAAAATAATCACTTTAAACCTTTCCTCAATCACTTAGGTATTTATACATACTGGCCCACAGACCATACAATGAATACATTATATCGATGTCTTCAATCGCACGAAACTTGGAAAACGGCTTGGAAGAAATCTAGCCGGGCTATTAAATACAATGCTGGTAATTCCATTAAATGGCATGGAACATTCAGTACCTTTACTGTCAGGGATGTCACGAGACTGCTTATAATAACAATGGCATGGTATTTGCTTTACTCTCTCTCCTTGGCTGAAAAACAGTTCGGTTTGCCTGCCCGAAGGAAACTTGTTCCATTCAATGTTGATAGCGTCCGCTGTTATATTATAAGATCTGACACAAACACAGGTTGTTGTTTTTTAAAGAGACAAATTATAAAACGTTTCATTTGGTGTGCCTTTTGTTGTATACAATTCTCCCAGGTTCACACTCACTTTGTCATCTGCCATGATCAATCCACTGCCGGATGAGGGCCTCCCACACTCGCCCAATCGACATCATGCCCCACTGTCACAACTATCCCACTTATTCGTATCTCTTGGGAATGCAACCAAACTTTAGAAATAACCATTTATACAGCCAGGTTCGAAGAACTGCGGCATGGAGAAACGTTTGCCTTTAAAATCAGGTGGTTATATAGCCTCGGGATGCAACCATATGGCAAGATGCTTTATGGAAACAGTAAAAAAAAGATCATTGTGAAAAAAAAGTTCAGAGTATCTTGCACTGCTGATGGTGATGTAGTGTCCTAGGAGGAATGTTGCATCGCCGATGTGAATATGTAATCGCCGATGATGATTGTTCGGATATGCAGGAAAACCTATTTGGTGCCAGGCTACAGGACGCCAGAATTTCGGCAGGAAACTGAAAAAGCTACGGACATGACTATTGAAACATTATATTAAACCAAATAATCAGCCTCAAATGCCGTTTGTATGGTAATTCAGAGACATGTGGCACGATGCAGTGTTCTGCAGTGACTACGAATGCATGAGTCAACAACTTGGTAAGCACAACAAATGTCAGCCATTCTCAATCCACCAATGGAAGAAGGGCTCCCTTCAAGCTCTGTTGGTCATGTGGATTGTTTAACCATACTTCACCACGCTGGTCAATGCAGGTTGGCAAAGGTGTGGAAATCTACATGTTCTGCGTGTTTAAATCTGTTCACTAAGACATTGGGCTTTGGAGCTCAGTGTGCACGTGTTGGGGTAGCAGGCTCTGCTCTCCCAACGTGCACGTTTTATTTGGACCAAGACAGCGATGAATGAAAAATAGCTCAACGCATTTGAAGCACACATTCAAAGACAGTGTTATGTGGACACTATCAGCAGATCCCAAAAAAAAATCTACATTTTTAAGTAGAAATACCTTAAACCAAACAAAATTAAAGCTAAATTTAGAACCGTAAAAGTACTGCGAAATAAAATTTACATGTGTGCAAGTGTCTCTAGCATTCCGCATTATTCATAGCTCCCTGGAGCATCCCGGGTCAGCTTGAGTGACCTTTAAACACAATGCAGGATTGGTAGTGGCCGACAGTTCCATGACATTGGCAGGTTCTCAAAAGAGCAACTAACAAAATGGTGCTAACATTTAACAGGAATAGCCAAGTGCACATGGGAATTGATGGAAAAAATACGAAAACCTTAGGGGAGGTGATCGTGTGGCTGACTTTTCATCAACCATTATATCTGGTTGCCAAGTCGGTGTTTTAAAAACAGTTAGCAAAGCTACCAGGGAATTGAAGAAATGCTTAGATTTATGTGGCAGCTCTTTTATTTACTTAGCACATGGCCAGCACTGAGCGTAAATAAGAGTGTGTTGAAATAATTGTGGAACACTATTGCCATTAATATTGCATGCTCTATTTGTCACTGAGGCACGCTTTAATTTTAAAAAAGGTCTCGTAACCAACCAAGTCCCCGAGAAGAAAAACACGTTACATTGTTCATATAAATAATAAGAAGTCAACTCGTGTAAAGTATATCGTATACAATTAGTTTCACATGTTGGAGCACAAGGACCATTGAAATAATCTGCAGGAGTTTGTGGGCCAAAGTCAGCAGAAATCACTTTACACTTAAGCAACGGTGCCCTCTAGTGTGGGTACACGTCATGATTCACCCCAGAAATGTGCCCGACTGTCGTAATCTGGGGCACCGATTCTGGTCAAGAATCCGTTGGCTTTCCTTTCATAGGACAATCTCGTTTGTATTGTTTTAAACTCAAACAAGGTTTTTGTGGTCACGTACTCATCCCCTTCCAAAACCTGCAGGCACCCCCACATCCCGACAAGCTGCGCCCCGCATGACGCAGCTGATGATGATGCCGATTGCATCACAAAGTCCCGCTTATTACCTCCCGTCCAACGGCACACATGAGATGAGAGGTTATTCGATTTGTCGACAAATAAAAACGATAGTTGGTAATCAATTACTTGTATAGTTAAATAGCCCAACTCTCATAGTCTTACAACGGAAAGTCATTTTATTCATTGCTGCAAGTGCCAAATCAGAAAACTCACTTCACTGGAAATGGAGTTTGTGTCAAAGAATAAAAAAAAATCTTATGCAGTCCAACAAAGCTCTTGTCAACATTAATGTGTATAAGCAATGTCGATCGCAGGCAAAAAAGCAAACAATAACAGGGTTGAACTTGCGTCCACTCAGATGAGAGTTGTGTAATATGGTGATGCGATGTTATATCGTATGGTAAGATCCAACAATGTTTTCATACGTTATGCAAAACAGCATTACATCGTGATTATCATTGGTCAAATGTTGACATATATAAACACACACTCATATAGATGCCGTTGCTCTGCAACAACAAATAATAAAACAGCTGTCATGTTCACACTATTCTCACAATCCTGCAATTGGAGAACTAAAAGTAATCTGCTTTTTATGTAATAATATGCCAAGTTAATGTATTTGTGATTTTTTTATATTCTCTCAGATCTGCAGAATATTATGGCAAAATAATCACATTAATTGGAGTTCAAGTTAAAACGCTTGAACATGTTTTAATGAACAGTGTTCATGTTCTAGCTTCTTCCGTCGTTGCAATTCAATGTTTGTGACGCGGAAAATACCGTTCAGCCAGTTACCCAGCTAGTTTCGGTGGCAACTGCCTGCAGCAGTCACCAACAACTGTTAGGGTGGAGAGGAGCCCAACCAGCAGACAGCCAAGAAACTCGAGGCATGAATGAGAACGAACTATAAACTATGTTTCGTTTACCAGGCAAAGACACACTGAGCTATGTTGCTCTTTTTCAGAAGCGACCTGGCCACAAATGTTAGCCCAACGAAGTGGCTCGTCATCATGTGAAAATGTATACCAGCTAGAAACTCTAAACACATGTTGCTCGTAAATGTGTGGGGGGGGGGGAAATCCGAAAGGACCCAGAGAAAAATCCACGCAACCACGGAGAATATGCAAACACCAAATATACAGCAGCAGGCGTCAGGGTCGGGGTCGAACCCACGACCTCCTGTATAGCAGGTGAGGTAGTTAACATCTCCTAGCCACCGTGGCGAGATGCTAAAGAAGTACACCTCACTGGGCGACGCTTCTCCCTCACCCCCTAGATGAGGTACAGTGAAGCCCAAAATGCTGCAATGCAAATGTGAAACAATTACAAAGTTATGGAAAACTGATATTGCGATAATCGTCAAACTGTAAAA